GGTGGTGCCCTCTTCGCAAATGCGCACCTTTTGCGAACAGAGTTACCCTACTTGTGTTTTAAAAAATCAAAGTGAAACTAGCAAGTTTTGGAATAAATTTCGGAAGAACGCTTTTTAAAAATGGTTACGCTGACAAAAAACCTTTTCCGGAAGAAAGGGTGATTGTTTTCTTTGTTTAATTTGACTTTAGAGCGAAAGGCGAGAGGTCATCAAAATAAAAAAACCTAAAACTCCACACTGAACGAACCCGAACTGCTGATGAACAGCAGTCGATCTGCGCACGTAAGGAGGTGCTATTCCTATTCTTCTTCTGGAAAAACGAAAGAGAGCTTCAAAACAGACTGCAGCGCCATCTGAAGCAAAGAGCGAACTTCCTGCGGACACTTTTTTGGCTGAGAGGCCCATCTTGTTATGTACTATCTTTGTCTGCGCCGACTATAAGTTTGTGTATTTGCCAATCTGCGCATTATTGCGCTGACGTCACAATGTATAAAGGCAAAACAACTTATCATTTTGAGAAATCCGATTGACAGATCGGGAAAAACCTATTCAGACCCAATTGATGGAAAAGTGTTGAAGCCCGTGCCTCTGAAATGAACTAAATTAGGTTGATAGGGGCAGAAGACCTTTGCAATCATAGGAATTGAGCAATGTAGTTACGTTGGACTACCAATTTTTTTTTTTTGGGGTGGGGGGGTTCACTTTTTTGTCGTTTAACAGTGAAGGAAAAAAATGTATTAGTTTTTTTTTTTTTGCTGTTTCCAGTCTCGCACGCTGATGGGCGGCCGGTCGGAGAGGAATGAGTGGCTGCTGCTTCATGCGTTCTTGGAGAAACAGTACATCTGTCCCGACAAGGAGTTCAAGAAGAAACAGGTCGCCGCTGTGAGTGCTTGTTGTTTTTGTATGTTTTAGTAAGATTTATTTTTAGTAGTTTTTTTTTTTAGGTAAGATTTTTCCCCAAAAGATTTTAGTAAGGGCTTTTTTTAAAGTTTTAGTAAGAGGTTGTTGGTTTTTTTTCCAGTTTTTTGGTAAGTTAAAAAAAAAGTTTTAGTAAGTTTTTTTGGGAAGTTTTTTACTAAAGGTTTTCTTTTGTTGTAGTTGTAGTAAGAGTTTTACGGCACTTGCAACACAGCAAGGTCATATTAAGTGCCGAAGATTTAGAGGTGTTACAAGAGTAACAAACACAAAAAAGGGAGTGATAAGGACACAAGATTTTTGACAGGAAAGAAGGAACAAATCAATACACAGGGGGGGGACGGCACACCCTCCAATCACCCGTTAGTAAGAGTTTAATTTCTCTTGCGACACTACTAAGTCAGACAAGCGCTGATGATTATAGGTGTTGCTATAGAGTGATATATATACATCTGATTAATTTTTTTTCGTATACTCTTATTGTTCCATTTTAGTGTTCAAATATCATTGTACATATCTACTCATTTTCTCATATTCAATGATTGTCTGATTCGAATATAAGATCACTAAAATGGCACCCAAAAAAAGGGATATTGTTTGTGTAAAGAGAAGTTCGTTGACGCTATAATAATCGTTTTGGGATGGATAAAAGCAAAACAGATTAAGACTGACCGAAACAACAGAGGGGATGCCCCCCAGGGCAGTGCTACTGACTGAAGTGTCTTTCGGCCATTCTCAAAGGGGGGATATCAACATGTTCTTAGGCACAGTAGAATTGTAAATGGGCTGATTGGTCAATGTCATGCTGAATCTGTGTGGGAACAACATAAGGGGTACTGCTGCTTTTTCTTTCCTCATCCTATCGTCATTTTCCTCTACTTCTTTTGTATGTGTGTCACTTTATTGTGAACTATTATTTCCAGGGTGCCTTGATAGTCGAAGCAGACCTTGTGCTGTTGAAGCTAGAGAAGTGAGCAGAGTAAGTCTGATTCCCTGTAAGGACTTCTCTGTTGGCATCCACCTTTTGGCACTCATATGACCTTGTGCAGTTACGAGTACAGTGAAACCTTACTAAAACAAACAAAAATAACGAAGGAGAAATAAAAAAGTAGGACCTACCAGTGGCGCCCTCCAATCACCCACAAGAAAGAGAGACAGGACCCCCCCCCCCCAAAATATTTTTAAAAAGAATGATCCATTGAGGATTTGAGTCCAGGTCATTTGCATCCTAGCACTGCACAGCATGATTACAACTTCATGCCTGCGACTTTCTTGTTTCAGGTGGTGGGAGACGATGAGGATGAGGTTGACCAATCAACGTCCAAGGCCGGTCAGGGCAAGAGGAAGCCAGCGTATGCAGGGGGTCTGGTGCTTGAACCCAAGAAAGGTGGGGTCACCACTGTGGAATTGCTAACTGGGAATACTTTAAGAAGTAGGAAAAGCACTGATGGGTAAAACAGGGAGGAAGATGCCAAATTTTGATCTTATAGTTTCTGCAACTTTGCTGTTTGTAGTGACAGGAAAGTGTTTTGTGTTTGGTAATTGCCTGTTAGGCTGAAAATATACTGAAGTATGCCGCGAAAAAGTCGTGCCCTCCTCTGTATTTCCTCTCGGTGATTTCACCGACACGGCAAGATCTGAGGAGTTGTGAGGACCCAAAAAGACGTGCGTGAGCACAGCACTTCTTTATCGCGTGCGGACAGGCTCGCCGTGGTATCGGAGTGTTCCGCGACCCCATGGAGATAAAACAAAAGGGGGAGGGGGGGGGGGGGGGAACCTGAGCTGTTTTCGCCTGCTCAGCGCCTTTTTTTTTACACAGTCGGACGGAGTCACGCTGACCTATGGGATCACCACTTTCAGACTAGCTGCTCTTACCTTTCGCGGCGCACTTCAGTTGTGCGTGGCGGTATACTTTCGACCTTAAAGTGTTTGTCCAGCCATCTCCCAAAATGTAGTGGATGTCATCCAGCTTCTGTGGCAGATGTATTTCTGGCTGCCGGAAAAGTTTTTTGTTTCCCTCTTGGATAAAACAAATTTTAATTTTGTATTTAGGGAAAATATTTTGTACTTTCTTGGTCCTTGAAAGAATACAACAGAGAGAAAAGGGCATTAAAAAAATGAAGGGAAAGAACTAAGGAAAGTGAACTACAGTTGACCCTGCTTACAACTGTCCTGTTCCAGACTTATCACCTGTACAAATGACAACTTCTCCCCCTTCTGGTTTTTAAAAAACTGTATCTGTAACAAATGACATTTATATTTTGTCAGACTGGTTTATGTGACATTCGTATTTTCCAAATTGGTAATTGTTTATGTTGTTGTTGTTGGGGTTTTTTTCAATATAAGACAATGATACATTTCTCTCCACTGCCCAGGTTTCTACGACACGTACATCCTGTTGCTGGACTTCAACTCTCTGTACCCGTCCATCATTCAGGAGTACAACATCTGCTTCACCACCATCTCCCGCACCGAGGCTGCCGCTCAGTCGGTACGTTCGCAACATATCCACGCTGTTGGTCTTAGTGTGTGGTCTGCCCATTAACTCTTTATTTCCGAAGGGGGTAAACCCACTACGCCGGGGCCCTATTTTGGTTCAAAATCTAAAATTGACATTTACACCACTAATTTAGTCATTCAATCAAAACAAGTGACCCTATTTCGATAGTTCTTAATTTAATTAATGAAATTGCGGTAAAAGAGATTTATTCCGAAAAGTTATTTATTGCGGTAAAAGAGACTTAAGACTTATTCCGAAAAGTTATTTGATGTGAAGTCGTCATAAAGGAATGTGCCCAAGCTGTTGGCAGCAGCTAATTGAGCGGTTCATTGTCACAGGGGTTCCGTCTGCGAGCCGCTGGAAGCGACTTGCCGCTGATAAGGAGTTACGTTGTTAACTCTTCCACTCTTCCATTGCCTTTTTTCCCCCACCAGTATTGTTTTTAGTTGTTGTGAGTGATAACATGTAGAAGAGAAGGGTATGTTTTTGGAGACTGAGAAAAACAATATGTCTTATTTTTTTCCAATTATATCATGTAGTTTGAAAGCCCTTTCTAATACGAATACTTTTCCCCTCTTTCTTTTAGAGCTAGTCTTTCTTCTTTCTTCTGGCCTTGATGAAGAGCTCTGTATTCTTTGGAGACAAGCCCCCCCACACACACACACACACACAGGTCCCCTTCCCCCTCTCTAAACTCAAACCGCCCTCACCCCCCTCTTTCTCCTATCTTTCCCCAGGAGGACCCCGATGAGGAGGTGGAGCTAATTCTCCCAGACTCTGACCTTGAACCCGGCGTTCTGCCCACGGAGATCAGAAAGTTGGTGGACAGTCGGAAACAGGTATGTGGGTGGTTGGCGGCTGCTCTGGTGTGGTTTGCTTTTTTTTTCTATCAAACATCTATTGTCATTATCTCTCTTTCTCTTTTGTGTTTGATACTCTCTTGTAACACCGCTAATGTTCCGCACTGACTTATGGAACAAAATTGTGTTGCAAGTTCCATAAAACTTGTACAGTGGAAACCATATATAACAGGCCCGGTAATAACAGGGATCCGGTAATAACAGGGATGTTTAAAATCCCCGTTTTTTCCTACTCTTTGTCTCTATTAAAAGTTATCGGCAATAACAGGGCCTCGTCGGAGCCCAACCGGTTATAGCAGGGACAAAGGTTCGTTAACAATGTGTAAAAAGTAAGAGAGAGAGAGAGTCAGTTTGACATTCACACCATTATCAAGGATAGAGAGAAGATAGTGGCAGCATACTCCAATGGAAAGTTTGCTATGGATCGAAAGAAGATGAGACTACCCGATGCAGATGCTGTGGACCAAGCTCTTCTGATGTGGTTTAAGGAGGCAAGGAGAAAGTTGGTGCCAAAACTCCTGTTCGTGGGTACTTGTGGCTAGGGAAACTACCCATGAATAAGTACAGCTGGATTAGTCCACAATAAATGCTCACTTTCCTTGCATTTCGGATTTAACAGGGATCGGATATAACAGGACATTTTCTCTTCTCCCACCATCCCTGTTATATCAGGTTTCCACCGTACTAAAGAAACAACCCCCCCCCCCCCCCCCCCCCCCCAGTACATTCATTGAATTTTTTGTCTGCATCAATTGCAGGTGGTTGGTGAGTGTTTGTTTTAGTGTTGTCTTCTACATCTGCTTCTTTTCACTCTTGGTCTTATTCTGATCTGCATCTCAGTTGGGTGGTTAGAGGGGGTGGTATAATAATCATAATACTAATAATACAGGTAATTTCTATATAGCGCCCACTTTCAAACAATACAGCTCTGGGTGCTTAAGAAAACCTTCATTTTAACACAAATTAGTTGTGCATTCCTATTTCTTATTGTTGTTTCAGTCTATCTTACTCTTTTTTTCCAGTACCAAATGGTTGTTATTCTGTTTTATGTGATATTAAATATTACCGAAACTTTTTCCTACATTCAAATTCGATATAAAATAATATGAAAATATACCGCTATTACAGTTAATTGATATACTAAGTATGCATGTAATACACTATTGGACACAATCATATGCACTTTTTTCTACTAATCAGGTGGCGTCAATCTCATATAAATGGGGGGGGTTGTTATTCTGTTCATCTGCTTCTCCTCTGTATTCAAAAACTTTGTGTACTGTACTTTCTTCCTGAACCCCAAAGACAATGATTTTTGCCAAGACAGTTCTTGGAGTGCGCCCCCCCCCCAAAGAAAACTGGATGGTTGGCGTGTGCTCTGGTGTGGTTAGCTCCTTCTTTCCTATCAAACATCTATCGTCCTTTTCTCTCCTCTTTTTTTATGTATGTTACTCTCTTGTCACACATCTATTCTTCGGCACTTATATGACCTTATTGTGCTGCAAGTGCCGTAAAACTCAAAACTCAAACTTTCTAGAACCCCCAAAGACAATAATTTTTTTCCAAGACAGCTCTTGGAGGGCACCCCCCCCCAAAAAAAAAATCAGATAGAAAGCTAAGACTGAGAATGACAGCTTGATGATGATAAGGACCTACATATGTTTATGGCTTTTGTATTATGCACATTGAGCTTGCTGTTGAATGCGAATCTGTGCTATACAAACTCTATTTGTGAAGAGTGCTGACAAAGTAATGAGTTACTTCTCGGATTCGAGCCCTATGTAAATAGATACATCATGCTTATAGGTGAAGTTTTTAAAATTTATACGCATGAAATTTAAAAAGGCATGTTATACTTTAAGTATATGGCATCAATAAAAAATCCACAAATTTGACTCTAATGTTGTTTTTTAGCCAATATCTCTATTTGTGGATTGCGAGAAGTAAGTAATCATTTCGTCAGCACCCCTCGCATTTGTCTATTATAATTATTCTTACGCCAGGTGAAGAATCTGATGAAGGGCAGTGATGTGAGCGCAGACCAGATGATGCAGTACGACATCCGTCAGAAGGCTCTCAAACTGACGGCCAACTCCATGTACGGCTGCCTGGGCTTCTCCTTCTCCCGGTTCTACGCCAAGCAGCTGGCCGCGCTCGTCACGGGGAAGGGGAGAGAGGTGAGTAGGGAGAGGGGGGTGAAATGATGGAGGTTTTTGTTCCTCCTCTTCATAATTTTCTTTTCCCATTCTCCCGTACCTCCTCTCCATAACACACACACACACACACACACACACACACACTCTCAAACACACACACACACCCTGCCTCCTCTTTTTCCTTCTCCTTCGTCATCTCCACCTTCCTCCTCCTTTCCATCTGCCTCCTCCTACTTGCGCCTTCTCTCCCTCGTACTTCTGCCTCCTTCCCCATCTCCTCTCCTCCTCCTCTTCTCCTCCACCTTCCCACTTCCTCCTCCGTCTCTATTTGAAAGATCGTGTTGAAAGATAAGTTTCATTGGGGAACAACCCCCACTCATACACACACACACACACACACCACACACACACCACACACACACACACACACACACACACACACACACACATGCTTCCACCATCCCTTCCATTTAGAAAAAATTAGTGCTATACAGTTGTCATATTTACAAGACAGTTTAAAAATAAAAAGTTCGCTTGTTGGGATGGAAATAGGAAGATGATTGAAGATCCGTTTTAAACTCTTCTCTATTAAACACTGCTAGAGTTGGGTCTTGTGGTCGTTCTGATTTTTTATATTTTTGTTTAAATTTCAGATTCTCATGAAAACGAAAGACCTTGTCCAAGGAGTAAGTATTTTTGGTTAAATGCTTTAAAAATAAATAATATTGTGATGATGTATAGATATATTGGCAGTGTCGCAAGCAATCCACTTAAGTCTCTGTTTGGGTACTTTTTACGTTAAGTCACAAATTGGAGGGTGCCATTGGCAGTTCCTGCTTCTTATTCCTTCCCCTTTGCTGGTCCTGTCTGTTTCACTTTTTCAATGCATGAGATGACCATGTTTATGTTGATGAGCTTCTCTTTCTCTTTACTCAAAACAAACGACAAATCCCCCCCCCCCCCCCCCCCCAGGGGAGTGCTACTGACTGAAGTGTCTAAAGGCCATTCCCAAAGGGGGGATATTAACATGTTCTTATGTACAGTAAAATTGTAAATGGGCTGATTTATCAATGAAATGTCTTGCTCATACTGTGCTGGAATAACGTAGGGGGAACTGCTGCTTTTTCTTTTCTCATCCTTACTATCGTCATTTTCCCTCTACTTCTTTTGTATGTTTGTCACTCTCTTGTGAACTACTATTTCCGGGGTGCCTTGATAGTGGAAGCAGACTTTGTGCTGTTAAGGCTAGAGAGGTGATCAGATTAAGCCTGATTCCCTGTAAAGACTTCTCTTTTGACACCCACCCCTTGGCACTCATATGACCTTATGCTGTAGCGAGCTCCGTAAAACCTCTACTGAATCTAACAAAAATCTTTTCCTCTCAGATGAACTTGGACGTGATCTACGGCGACACAGACTCCATCATGATCAACACCAACAGCACCGACTTCGACCAGGTCTTCAAGCTAGGCAATAAGGTAAGTTTTCAAGTTTCTTTGCATCTTTAACGCTTTGCCCCCTCGGGACGCCGGTCGGCGCTGGTAAGAAGCCTTCCCTTTTCCCCAGGGGACGCCGATTGACGCCGGTGTAATATAGTGTGTACCGCATCTGTATCCTGGTCAATGGTGATAAGTATTGCGCGCTGTGCGCACTGTGTGAGTGGAAAGTGTTAAGCGGATGTTGCTGCGCTTTTTAAAAAATACTCTTGCTTTTTTTATTGACACTGCCCTAGTGGAATGTTTTGTTTGAGTCTCACAATTTTGTGTGGGTGGTTGGCAGGTGCTCTGGTGTGGTTTGCTCCTCCCTCATTCCTATCAAACATCTATCTATCGTTTTTATCTCTTTTCCTTTTTTTGTGTTTGTCACTCTCTTGTAACATCTCTAATCTTCAGCACTTTTATTATGACCTTATTGTTTTGCAAGTGCCGTAAAATTCTTACTTAAACAAAATTACAGTTTTGTTATTGTGTCAGTTATGGTGGACAATGTACCATAATATAAATACAGAGCCCCTTGTCCAAGACATACACAAACACACACGCACACACTCTTCATATTACATTGACTGACACTGTTCAAGATCGCGACCTCAGTGCTTTCTTGTCGCATCTCCGTATCTCCATTTTTTATCAACCATAAAAATGTGACTTCTTCTTAATCTCCCTCTTTGTTATGAACTGTTTTCACTTTTATTAAAAAATGGAGGTACGTACGACGAGAAAGCACAGACTGTCGCAAGATGTCCACCTGTCTAAGACGACACATGTTTTCCCCATTCTCCTTGTAGGTGAAGAGCGAGGTGAACAAGCTGTACCGCCTCCTGGAGATCGACATCGACGGCGTCTTCCAGTCCATGCTGCTTTTGAAGAAGAAGAAGTACGCGGCCTTGAGCATCTCTCGCGGGCCGGACGGCAAGGTGACCAGCTCCCAGGAGCTCAAAGGGCTGGACATTGTGCGCAGGGACTGGTGTGACCTGGCTAAAGAGGCCGGAAAGTGAGTGGGTGTGGATGTTTTCTTTTCTTTTTCTTTCTTTCTTTGCTTCTTTTTTCTATCTTTTTTTTCTTTTTCTTTCTTGATTTCTTTTTCTTTTTCTTTTTTGTTTTTCTGCTTTTACGTTTGAATGATAAGTTTGTCAAAGTCTTGGTGGTCTGTTGGTTTGTGAGTATCTATTTTGGTGGAATTTTTGTTTGGAATGATTCCTGTAGAATGATGATGGTAGGTATTGAGAGTAGATCAGGAGGCTGAAAATGTTTGAGAATGATGTGATAGAAAGTAAAAGAAGTTGTTTTTGGTTTTTTTAATTTGTTATACTTATTAAATTTATCTATTTATTTATGAATGAATAAATTAATTGATTAATTAATCTATTTATTTATTTGTTTATTCATTCATTCATTTATTTATTAATGCATAATTTTAGACTGGACATGAATAAATTAATTGATTAATTAATCTATTTATTTATTTGTTTATTCATTCATTCATTTATTTATTAATGCATAATTTTAGACTGGACGTGTCATTGAGAACACTACAATAATTTCAGGTATGTTGTGGATCAAATTCTCTCCGGGAAGAACCGAGAGACCATCTTGGAGAACATCCACGCGAAGCTGACGACGGTCGGGGAAGACGTGACGGCCGGGAAGGTGGCTCAGACGCTGTTCTACATCTCCAAGGTAACCAGTTAGTTGTTTGGTGACTCTTGTGGGTCGCTTTGACCGTGAGAAATTGCATCCAAGTTAACCCTTTCCGGCCCCATGCGCGTAGATTTTCAGCATTGCTTGTACCGCCCACCTGTCTCTGTACCGCCCACTTGTCTCAAGAGCGTATATTATCAGGAAATTTTTATTTATTTGGGAGGGGGGTGCCGAATTTGCGCATTTTTCAAAATTAGCTAACCTAATTGAATTATTTTTTTCCCCTAATGTTTGTTCAATTACCTTTAAACATTGTTAAATGTTATTATTTAACCTCATTACAGAGATACTACATCACCTTTTAGAAATCATGCCTCTTTTTTCTGAAATACCGATGTATTGGCTGAGACTGGGGTTAGAGAGTGCACAAAATTGGCTGGGACTGGAAGGGTTAAGCTAACTGAGACGTGGAAGGGTTAAGCTAACTGAGACGTGGAAGGGTTAAGCTAACTGAGACGTCATGGCAACTGTATGGTGTAAGTCTCCACCATGTCCCAGTTTGAAAAGTGACTCATGACGGAGGCTTTTTAGGTAATCGTTTGGCTTTTTCCATCTGTGCCCCAAATTTTTGGAACAATTTGAATTAAGATGTTAAAATGTCTCTTTCAATTGATCTGTTTAAATCAAAGTTGAAGACAATGTTTTTCAGTAAAATATATTTATAATGCTGGAACTCTATATCTGAAATATCTGTCTGTTTTTTTGTGTTTTTTTTCTTTTTTTTTCAAATTTATGCATGTCGGAGGGGTACTGAGCTTTAGAGCTTTTGTGGATGTGTGAGTGTGTGTGTGTTTTGTTAGCGCCATCGAGCACTCTTTGTGGATTCTGGCGCGTTATAAATTCATTTATATTATTATTATTATTATTAATTTTGCAGGCCACTTTGACTGCGTGGATTGACTGCGGAAAAATTGCATACTTTAAGTTAAAGTTAACCGAGACATGATATCGACTTCATCGTGTACGGCTCCAGCATACGCCATTTTGAAAAGTGAAGCAAGACGTTGTTTCACACTGAGTGTTCAATAGGGATTCCGATGTAGGGAAACTGCAAATACACCGTTGTATCTTCTTCCCAGACCGTTAATGATTTATTCAAAGAGGCAACAATTGTTTGTGTCAAGATGCTGTTTTAGCCCGAAAGTCATATACAGTTCAGATGTAATAATAATGATGATGATAATAATAATAATAATGTAGCTCAACAGCAAGCTCTATGCATTTTACACTATATTATTACCCCAGCAGACCCTATAACACTCAGAAACATTCTCAGCTTCCCTACTTTTTACCTTCAGACTGGCTCGGTCATATGACCGTATGTAGTTACTGTTGCACTGGGGTTGTTTGCCATTATTGTATTTAATAGACAAAAGTAAAAACTCTGTTTCTAGATGAAGAAGGTTGATTTAATAAGAAAATGATACGAGGTCTGCCCTCTCTGGCTTCACTGACAAGACTAAATCATAATGAGCATGAGTACATGTGGTTAAAACAGGAAGGAGGAGTGAGTAAAGATCACTAAGATCAGACAATCTTTGTTGTGAGGGTAGATAAAATAAAAGTACAATTACAGGGACATAATTCAAGTTAATCATGGTAATATAGGGAGCAACAATCCAGGATTTATTGTTCCCCTTCTATATATTGATAAAAGCAATCTAATAGTCTAACAGTTACAAGTGCCAAAACACTAACCAAAACAAAAGGACAAAACACAGCTGATAAAAGCCTGTCAATTCTTTGCCATATCGACAGGCGGAGGTGGTAGAGTTCAGATGGCCGCTGGGTCGGAAAAGTAAAGTACTTTTATTTCCACAGCAACTGACCAAAAACCCAGAAGACTATCCGGACAAAAAGAGCTTGCCCCACGTCCAGGTGGCGATGAGATACAACTCCAAGGGAGGGAAAAAGATGCGGGCCGGAGACACGGTGCCCTACATCATCTGTGAGGTTTGTTATGTCCCTTTGAATTCTTTCTTGTGATCCAGAAATTTTACCGAAATCTTTAACGGTTAGGTGCTCCACTGCTGCGCTCTGGTGTGCGTTAAATTCACCCACGGGGATGTTCATTTATAGAGCATCTCAATTTATCAGCTAGGATACTGTGTCCTTCTCAGCCCAGGTTGGCCCTGACAGGCAGGTTTGAAATTACCAGCCTCCTAAATTAATCTAAACTGTGTTGATGGAGGCACAGACCACAAGGCTCTCAACATTAACCATCGACACATTTTCAGACCACAAGACTCTCCACTCTAGCCTTCTATATGTAGTGTACTTAGCTGGGGGGGGGGCATTAAAAAAATTATACATCTGTGTGAGATCACTGTAAAAACTTACACTTGCCACTTCACTTCACAGGACGGCTCCACTCTGTCGGCCACGCAGCGAGCGTATCACCCAGAGGAACTCTCTCGTCAGGACAACCTCAAGATTGGTGAGTCTCTGTCTGTTCTGGCACGCTTGTCTAACTGCAGGCTTGCCAACTGTTCTGAATTTCCTGGGACTGTCGTGAATTTGCAAGGACATTCATTACCCTTCCCAAGTGTTGTAATTTTAATTCGTTGTTAGGTAATTTGCAATAAACTTTTATTCTTTGCATGCTGCTCCTCTTGTCTTCAGCACTTACATGACCTAATCGTGTTGCTAGCACCATGAAACTCTTACTGAAACTAAGAGTTAAATTAGCTTTTATCATTGTCCCTGATCTATGACATAGTTGCTTAGTGTAGAGCCTTAACAGTGAAGGTTTTTTAAAAAGTCAGTTGTTTGTGAAAAGGTCATACAAGTGTGATAACAAGGAAGGCAATGGGGGTTTTTTTTTGGGGGGGCGCACTATTTTTTAGTATTCCTTACATGTTTCTTTAAAAACTATTTTGCCTATTTGTGTTGCAAGTGCCGTAAATCTCTGACATAAACTAAACTAATACCTCTGTCTGTTCTGCAGACACCAAGTATTACCTGGCCCACCAGATCCACCCAGTCGTGTGTCGGTTGTGTGACCCCATCGAGGGGACCGACTCCGCACGCATCGCAGAATGTCTCGGTAAGTCACGTGCGTGTATGTGTGGGGGAGGGGAGGGGAAGAGACTAGTCACAAGGCGGGTAATTTAGCCTCTGAAATATTTTAGGAATATAAAATGGAATTTTCTAGGTTTCTTGTTTTGTAAAACAATTTTATGGTCTGGGTGTTCTGTGAATTTACTCAGGTTGTCATGTTCACCTTCAGAAAAATAATTTTTTATAGTCTGTTTGCTTTTTTTTTTTTTTTTTGCAACACTGCTTGATGATTGTCTTTAGTAGAATGATGTCTGCGGTCTTTGTTGGCTCAGAGAAATTTCCTAGACTTTGCCAATTTTGTTAAAAACTCCCAATAGTTTTCTGACACATGTGGTATATGTGTTTAAATTTCATAATCAGATACACTTGATACCGTTGGTGGTTGGTGGGTGCTCTTGTGTAGTTTTCTCCTTCTTTTCTCCATTAAACATTTATCTACCTGATCTCTCCACCTCCTTTTTTGTGTTTGTTACTCTCTTGTAACGTCTCTAATCTTCCTTACATATTATTTGACCTTATTGTGTTGCAAGTGCCGTTAAATTCCTAGTAAAACTAAAACACTTGGTACAGTGTCTGTAGTCTAATGGGTAGGCAGCTTCACCATTGCACTCTGAAATTGTGTAGCAAGTACCGTAAAAAACTGTTACTAAAACAAAACACGCAAAAAAGACACAAAAAAGGGAAACTGACAGTATCCCAGTCAGTCTCGGTTTTTAACCCTTTTTGAGCCACAGCGGCCTAAACCGAAAACCCCCCACTGAAATAGTTCATTATCTGGCTGCCATTTTGGTTCTGCGGTGCTGACCTGCTGATAGTGCTAAGAGGGTTAAACTTGGCTTGTTTTCTTTCCCCCCCCCCAGGCCTGGACCCGTCAGGCTACCGTCAGGTGCTGCGTCAGAACGAGGGCGAGGAGGAGGAGGATCTGGTGACCATGCAGCTGACCATGGAAGAGAGGTTCCGCGACTGCGACCGCTTCACCTTCCCCTGCCCCGCCCCCGGCTGCGGCCGCCAGATTGTCATGGACTCTGCGTTTACGGGACATGTGAGTTGTTGCATTACTTTTAGGAGACCTGCCTTCTAGCCAGTGACAAAAATAGTCGAGGGAGCTCTCGTGTATTACTTTTAGAAGACCTGCATTGTCGCCAGTGACAAAAATAGTGGGAGCTCTCGTGGTCTAGAGGTTACGGTGTTCACCTCATTCAATAGGTCCTGGGTTCGAGTCCGGATAGCGAAGGAACATTTTCTGCTCTAAAATTTTCTACTTTCACCTCCTTTCCTGCTCTCTAACAATGTTCTGTTGTCAGCTTTCATCTCCATTTTATGCCCCCACCCCCTCACCTCCTTTGCTCCCTCCTCTGAGCTCCTGACTCTTTCTGCAGCCTTTCTACTGTTTTTCCTTGGCTCCTTCTTACTGATGTCTTTCAACCTCACCCCTCGTCTTATGGTAGGTAAGATCTAACACCAACACCTAACCTTCTTGGATAAGAGGGAAAAATCTCGGAGTGCAAGTTGCACAACTTAAGATCTACCTCTAATCTTCAGCAGTCATATATGACTTTATTGTGTTGCTAGTTCAGGGAAACTTGTTTGGAAATAAAACGAAACATTCATAATCATTAAGTGAGGTGGGGAATTTTTTTTCTTTCCCTTGTGGGGGTGGGGGGTTTACAGGGCCTGCCTAAGGTCATATGAGCGCGCGGGTCACATTAAACATTTTCAGTTGGTAGAAAATTTTGCCCACGGGGCGGCGGCTGAAGCCTACTCTTATATGGATTTTTTTCCTCCCCTTTCTCTAGGATTCGTCGGTGAGTCCCACCCTCCAGGCCTGTCCGAACCCAGACTGCAACCACCCACTATGGAAGGCGAAGAACCAGCTGAAGAATTTGCTACAGCTCAAGATTCAGAAACACATCAATAGATATTATCAGGTTGGGTCACATTGTATTTTTTTAATTTTTTAAAAAGATTTTCCTCCAGAATTTTTCAGGGGGCTGGAAAAGTTCCAGTTTTTAGAAAATGGTTTAGCTATTTGGCAACTCTATACTATCATAACAGATATCTTTCATGTTCAAATCACTGGCATTTAAGTGCTTATTTTCATTTCTTGTTTGTAAATCTAGCAAGGTTTCCGTTATAACTTTTATGTAAATTGTTTCCTGTATTATGCCTTTAAATTGTCTCTGTAAGCTTTTTGTGTGGGTGGTTTGCGGGTGCTCTGGTGTGGTTTGCTCCTTCTTTC